ATCTTGTAAGCGTCACGCAATTCAAAAGACTTTTTTATATATAATCAATTAGTAGGTAATTCCCAATTAAGCATTATCAAGAAACCAAATCAATAAAAAATAACATTTGAAATAATTGGCCATTAGTCGTATACATCAAGATAAAGTTTTCTGGATTTCAGTCTAAACAAACTATTATGTCTTATAAGGAGCTGGGTTTCCTAAAGTTAGTAGAAGTATAAAATAGCTTTTACAGTCAAGATAGATAAAATCATATATTTGGAGTTTACATTTGTGATTTATTATCATAATAAGTGCTTCGTTACTAAATCATTCAGCTCATTGAGAAAAAAACTGGGTAATTAATGTTTATCATACACAAAGCCTAATATATTGTAACAGCTTGGAGATTTACAATTTACTTTGAATCGCGTGACAAATCATCTAGATTATTATAGATAAAGAATTATGATTAAGTTGAAAACAGCTGAATAATCATTTAAAATCAAAGAGTATGGGAAAATCCCTTTTTTCGAACATGAGAATCTTGTATTTCCACCTTGAAATTTCATTTTTCACTTATTATTTTACTAGCTAACTCAGCAGTCTTCTTTGTTTGCTGAAATTTGTCTTAGTAGAAATCCATATATTTTTTGATAGTCTGAATGATTATGATGTGGTAATAATATTTCGATTTTTTGTTTACGACTCTTCCATGTGTTTACGAAACGCATCATTCTTATGTCATTTAGTCCTTTTCCACAATAAACTATATAAACTCAGCCTTAATGGGACTTAATAGTTTTCAGTTGTTTTTATTCTACATACCCAATTACAAATGACCCTTTTTATATTTATTCAGGAAAAGAAACTGGTTTATAAATGATTGAAATTAGAGGGAACTTAAATAGGAAAGAAATTTATAAGATAGAAACTTATATATTTTGTAGTACAGACTGATCTTAATTAGATAGTAATTTATCATCTGAAGAAGTATTATATTCAATAAGAGAAACAAACTACGACTTAAGTTATTAGTTTATTAAATACACAGTAATGAACTTCAACTTGATTGATTTATGTTTGTCTTCTAGAATTTAAAAAGGAACAAAAACGGATCAATACGAACATTGTTAAATTGCACACTCATTACACTTCGATTATACGCAGATCAGGAGTTTTCATAATTCAGCTACATAGGTGGTAGTCAATTGATTAAAACACGAGTTTTTTCTAATAAACAGAATATACATCCGTTTGTTGTCAGAACAACCAAAAGAGGTTAATTTGTTGACATTAACTTTTTCAGATAGATATTATCATTCGATAAGCTTGATCTAATTAAATATAGTGACTTGATTCATTAATGATATTATAATTTGCAAAGAAAAGTAAAATACAGTAGCAAATATTCGTATATTGAAAATGTTACTTAAATATGAGAAATGAGCTTCGTCATAACTTGTTGGTGCTTTCTTATTAAAAAAAGTATTTGATTGAGATCGTGAACCGATTGATGTTAGACCACCACAATTGAAAACCTGGAAGCACTGGACGGCCGTTTTGTCCGCTAATCCTTGTCGGGTAGAGGTAGGTATCTACCTCAGTACAACGGAAGTTGGTCGCGCAATTTCGTGGATTGGTTGATGTTAGAAACTATCACCATTGGATGCCGGCTCGGTGGTCAAGTTGGTTAAGCGTTCGCACGCGAGACCGAAGGCCCTGGGTTCGAATCCCGCGAGCGGGATCGTGGATGCGCATTGCTGAGGAGTCCAACAATAGGACGAAACGGCCGTCCAGTGCTTCCAGGTTTTCAATTGTGGTGGTCTAACATCAATCGGTTCATGATCTCAATCAAAAACTTAATAATCTCCACAACCCCTATACTAGTAAAAAAAAGTAGTATAGACATAGGGGAAATCAGTGACGTGATTAAATGAACCTGTGGTGTATGCTAGTTAAGTTGACAGATGTAGGTAGTAGGTAAAACCAATCAAAAGTGGTATGCCTGTCAAAAAAACTGAAGAGAAGAGAAGAGAAAGAAATTGGAATAAAAATAGGATTGGAAAGATTTTGAAGGATGTAAGAGACAATTGAAAGATATGCAAATGATGTATTTGATGTATGATTTTCACATTCTACTAAACCATTATATGATTGTGAATTAAATGATAAATTGGTTCTCCTCACCTGAGCTCTTGTTCACTACAAATCTAGTTTTGATGTTCCCAGTTTATCCGATAGTCTACAATTACAGTTGTACATTTATGTACCTAATATTTGTTTTACAATCTCACATTAGCAGGAGTTTAAATCGTCGATATTTACAGATTCAATATAATTCTGTAACACTGCATGTTGCATTATGAAATATCATTGTAAACTTAGCGAAATCCATCGGAATTAGTAAAAAGCATATCTTATAGATTTATAACAGATTGATAGGTATCCGATGTCGTGTTTGTCTAGTTGTTTTAGTGTCGAAAGAATTCTGTTGATCAAGGTGCAATTTGGCCACTGGTTTTAAATGACTCAAAATTATGAGCACTATGTTGAAATGTCAAGTAATTAGATGTAGTTGACAAGATACTACAAACCTAGATTTCATGCTGTTTGGCTCTTACAAACAGGGTGCACCTGTAATCCTAAGGGGATCTGCGCTCTATAGTGGACGAAATGTTATGTATTAAATCAATCTGATAAAAGTTTATTACAGAAAATAAGCTTAATGATTATCTGAAAAACGAACAAATATGTTTATTGGAATAACAGAAAGGAAAACATAATTAGTTTTGTAGAGGAATACATAAAAAGTGAATTATTATATGTTTAAACAAGTGACTAGATGTTTCTATTCAAGTAAACAATTTCTAAATGAAAATCAGTAGTAAACCGAATTATTTCATATTGTTGGTTTACATGAGCGTCTAGTTAACAGTTTATCTAAGCTTATTTTGGTTGTCAATCATTATTATTCCGCAAAAACTCATGGTTGACGTTGAAATAGTCAAGCTAAAATTATGACCCAAATGTAATGTAGCTTAGTGGATAGTAAGAGATCCATTTATGTGTCAGCTTTTGACAAAAACTTGAGATATAATAATTCGTAGTAATTTCCAGATAGTCATACCTATGTAAACTGAATAAGATTTAAATTTGAGGCATCACAATTAATGGTTGATTGATTCTAACAACTAAGCTCGTGTAGAATAAGCATGCTATGTGACACAACTAGCTAAATGACTTTAAACTTCTCTTTGGTTATTGGTTTTTCTGATAAGAAATAAGTGGTGGACACATATTTTACTTATCAATAAATTAATATATTTGTAATATCCCAATGAGTAGAAAAATAAGATTTTCTGACGTTTCGTAACTCAGTGTAAGCCGCTTCTTCAGAGAGTAAATAACCAAATCAAAATTTTGATGACGATTGATAACCATCTACCCAATGCTTAATTCATTCTAAATTATCAAGTCAAACTTTGGTAATGATACCTACATATTTTTATCTTTATTAACACCTTTTACTATATGAGATTATTTGATTTGAATCTAGACAAACTTGAACTGATGAAATCAGGTAGCACTATCTGTTATTGTTAATTTATCTTGCTGTATCTACATCAATAGGAGTTCATTAATTCTTTTTTACTTTAATGATTTTAATTTCCTTATTACAATTAATTTATAATAGGATGCTAGACACCTATTACGGTTAAATATTATGTAAGGCCAGATTAATTTATATACATCCAATAAAATTATAACATAGTGTTATTTCATCTTAAACGTATTAATAACTTGATTGTTTGAAAGAAACATTTCATAAAGATTGATAGTTTGTTTATAGATAACAAATGAAATAATAAATTCTATTAGCACTTACTGTTTTTGTATCTTCACTTGGTTTAATGCATGTTTCAGCAACATTTCCCTTATTCTGAAATCTACATTCAACTGTGAATGCATCAGTTGGTGAACCAAGGTTTGGATCAATCCAGTAAGTACCAGATTTAGAAGTTTCTGGAAAATCAGCAGCTTCATATATATCACGACAATGTCTAGCTGGATTTTGTTGTGTACCCATAGGACGTTCAAAACTATTCATAGATGCTTCTAAGCTTTCAATTCTTGCATATATACGACGTAGTACTGCACCAACTGATGGTATTGTATTCGGTGTAATACTTTCATCTATTAGTTATGCAGAATTATTATTATTATTAGTAAAAAGTAATATGAATAAGGTTGTATTCGAACTTTTAAACTAAAAGTTTCATGGAACTATAATATATAAAAAGAATAGTTTAGTTTACTATACTCTAAAATTTACCAAAAAGTAGAACTTATCGCTTCACTTTCTTTCTATCTTAATTATTCCCTTTGTGATTGAATACTTAAGATCTCATCTTGTTTAAAACCAATTTATTTGAGATTAATTTTACAAAAATAAATCAGCTGACGATTAATCTATTCGAACATAATTTTTTTCATTAGAGTTTTTAGTAGTGAAATATGCAGAGTTGAACGTTAACAATGAATATACGATTATGCAGTGTAAAGTACGACTGTACAAAATGATTACGACTTAACATTTTTATGAGAATGAATCTTATTTTACAGCCATTAGTGAGTATTTGTTACTCCACGCATTGTTGAGTACAAAACCTTGAAATTTGACAACAAAGATGCTGTTCAGTAAATTGACCTATGTTCATCAATTAACTTTTACTGACTTTACTAGTGATATAGTGCTAAGATTATTCAAAGTTACCGATAGATATCTGGTTCACTACTGACTTGGTTGAATTCACAGGTCGTAGTTTTTTAACAAAGCTTAGAACAAGTCATTTGTGGGAACACTAATTAATTTTATGGTCTTCGGTGATTTATCAACTTTACGAAAAATGTTTGGGATAATAAAATTAAGTTATTTTTAGTCGGATGTCTATTTGCAATAAATATGCTGTAAGAAGTGTTTGTTGACTTATGTTTTTCACTTTCTTGTTCTATTTTTAAAAGGAGCTAACAATGTATTTCAACGTAGAAATTAGCGATTATTTGAAAGTTGATCATTTTTAACACAAATTTTCTACACATACTTTTGTGGTATGTGCTACTGATCGATGGATATAAATAGTACGTATTATCAATCGAAAGTGGCAGAAAGTTAAGAAGATCAAAGAAAAGAAAACGAGAACAAAGAATGATTGCTGTGGAATCGAAAGAACAACGAAGTCTGAGACGATTGATTGACATTTGCAAAAGGAAAAGTCAAGCTTGAAACAATTGATTGACATTTTGCAAATGAGGTATTTACTGTATGGTTAGTAAGAGATTCTGTAATTTTGTATTGAAATACTTTCCATTTTCACCACTTCATGTTCTCGTTCACTACACTTTAATTATTCTTACATAAATACATTTGTTGGGACTTTTTAGTAGACAATCAGAAATTTGATATTACGATTATTTTAAAGTTTTGTTTTAAAATTTAATAACTTTCGTACATGCAACAAAACTAATCCAACGGTGTGAAATTTATAGAAGTAAGCTAAGGTATAGATTGTGGTTCAGTGTTTTAGTAATATAGCTTATGACCTTAGGTTTTAAGTCACAATAACTTGTTAGGCTTGAAAAACAAAGAATTATTCGATTAATTTTTATTGATTCATAATTCGTTTATTTAAGACATTTTAAGACAAAAATTTTCTTTTAGTCAATGACCCCCATTTTTTTTAAAAGTAGGGGGTTTATAAAACTTAGATATGTTAGGTGTTTACTTTAGTCAATCTTAGATTTCTCTTCTCTGCTAATAAAATGAGAGGGTCATTCCTGTAGATGATGAAAGGTGTCTTAAAGTTAGCATCTTATAAACATTTGGGTCTTTTAATATGTAGTCTTCTAGCAATCATAAGGTAAAAAATTATATAGAACCACCTGGAATTTTACACAGAAACGCTTATAAGAGAGACTAAGGTAAAGAAAAAAATCAAATGATTATTCACTTTACAGTATAACGTACCCGGATCCTGTTTCGAATAATATTGATTATTGTATAAAGCATCTGAAATACTACGTCTAACTCTGGGTGTATCCTCAAACCTATAATAACCTTCACTCATATCTAAGACCTTGATTGGACCCGGAGGTCCCGGTGGTCCTGCTGGACCAGATGAACCCTTTTGACCTGGGACACCAGGTAACCCTATAAAGGAAAAAATATGTTTAAATCGAAAACATTAATTACAAAAAATAAGGTTCAGTTATATCGTCAAGGAAGCCCAATATATTTCGTAATGACTTAATACCTACGTAAACAATACAGAAATACAATTACCCTAATAACTTGAAACAATTAATTCCCTTAAATGTTCATAGTAACCTCAGTTTATGTGGAAACCATAATTCTTGGTGTAAGTACTTTCTAATCTATAGGTAACGTGTACTAAAATCAGTTGTTTATGATTGCAAATCATGATTTAACGAAATAGTTACTAACTTACGTTTCATTTTAGATCTCGAACCAATATACTTAAAAGTGTTTTACTTTTTTTTACGTTATTCATAGCATGATTTCATTTAAATAAATTATACTTTAAAAAACAAGAGTATTTCTCTACGAATATCGAATGAGTTGTTTAGTATTAGTTTATATGCAGGAGTAAAGCTGTTTTAATATGAAATATTTACTGAACTTCAAGTTTGCTAATAACTCATGCCTCATCCCAGATGATTATGGAGCCCCACTTTTCATGACAAAACTTCTTAAGATTATTTGTTTTCGGCGGAACTAGATAAAGTTATCAGGTATTTTGTATAGTGCAGTGTGGAAAATAACAAAAGATGATATATAAGATATAAAACTGATGAATTTAAAACTTATATTTACAAATTCAAATTCATTTACTAACCTGGAGGACCAGGATGTCCAGCTGGACCTTCAGGACCAACTGGTCCGGATGGACCTGGTTGTCCTGGATCTCCGGCAGGTCCGACAGGACCCCTTTCTCCTTTGAGACCAACCACTCCTCGTACGCCCTCAAGTCCAGGAACACCTTGTTCACCCTTTGGTCCCGGAGGCCCCAATGGACCGACTGGACCATAAGTTCCTTTGCTACCTTTCGGACCACGGTCACCTTGTATACCAGGGTCACCTTGCTTGCCCTGAAAATATTTCATAATGAGAATAGATTTTGTTGACATATTTTGTTTCAGTACATGAATAAACGATAACAGTTACGGTTTATGTATGACAAGCTAAAAGTCACATATAGTTTTTATGGGGACAAAACATCTACAAGGAAATTCAAATGAACCTAAAGCAGATCCTGTTAACAGGTTTTAGCGATAGTATTTGAAAAGATATCTAGAAATACTAAAGAATAAATATTACAGTAATGTATATCAGGGACGTCAATAATGAATAAACCAAAAAAACGGTTAAAATATTATTTTGTTTATTCAAAGCAATAAGCAGACCTTTGAAAACGAAAAAAATATATGTATTAGTTTACTTGTAGTCCTTCTGATCCTCGTTCTCCTGTCTTGCCTTGTTTACCCATTACCCCCTATAAATAAGTTTTAAAAAAAATAAATCAGAGAATATAGAATGACATCCTTTGCATTGAAAATGAAACAAGATACACTTTACTTAGTCTTAAAAAACATTGTTTCGTTATGCCTATTAAAATGATCATGCTTATACTATTAATTTATAAATTGAATAGTTTACAGACAGATTAACTTGATGAACACAGTCAATATTCTTGGATGCAAGTTGATAGTCGAACCCAATAGAGATTCGCTTTAGATTTTATGTGCTCTTTGAAAAATTCTTCATTTTACCAATTACTTTCATTCACCTTCATTAGATATTTTCTTTTTTTTTGTTTTAACATGGTTTAGATCCATGTACTTTGTAATTAACAATCTTACTGTCCATATTTTTTTTATTTGCAAAGGCTTTTTCGTTTTAATCATCATGTAACAGACAGTTGAGATTTTTCATAGTTTATAAGGTATGTATATCAGTTTAATCTATTCTTATCATTGTGATTTACAGTATTATTTAAAATTGCCGACATTATTAATGTGGTTTATTTTTTGTTATATTTATCTTTCTGTAGATAACTTTTATATTTGTCATTGTGACTATCCTTACATAGTTTTTCTCTCTCCAGTAAATCAAATTCTGATAACTGAATATTTTCAATAAATGATTGACGTTTATAAAAAAATAGATGTTCTAAGCTGTTCGAATTCCATATTACCCAGTTGGTTGGCTTGTAAAATGAATATCTCATTATTGGTTGGAAATTTACAAGATCACATCAAAATTGAAATATCATTTAATAGATAATGTGTTAGTATTACACTAAAAGTATCCAAGAATGGAATTCATGTCACAGAATGCCTTACAAGTAAATATAAACAAAAGAATATATCATTCAAATAAAGGTAAAATGTATTAAAGTATGAGTTGGAAAGGTATAATTGTTACATTTTCTTCGGTGACCGAATAATGGTAACATTTATTTAAAGTAATATCTTTGTTTTATGGTTTATTTTTGATGATTACTAAAGTAATTCTTAGTTATCTGAATAAAATTATCTTATTTTTCTATAGGTTAAGATTGTCTGTTTATAAATAAAGTGTTTTGATTATAAGCAGAGATGGATGGTGGCTACCAGTAGAATCCAGGAGGCGCGTTTAGTCTTATTTAGGACTCGTCAGCCGGATGTATCTGCATCCGAACTGATGTCCATTCCGGGACTCGAATCTAGTACCGTTCGCTTTAAGCGCCATCGCGTTATCCCTATAGCTACTGGGTATAGATGGCCACTAGCTAGTGCAATGGGGAGAAGTTTAATTCATTTTTGTATTGTTTGTTTAAATGTTCCCATTGATTTTTAAAACTTCAACTGATCAGTCTCTTGTTGACATATGTACTTCCTGTGCGTGTTGCCTTGATATTGTATTGGGTCACAAGGACTATAAACAAAGATGGGTGGTGGCTAGCAGTGGAATCCAGGACACGCGTTTAGTTCTGTTTGAGGTACATTAGCGAACGGTACAGGATTCGAGTCCAGAAGTGAACATTAACTCTGGGATGAAGGTACATCTCTGCTTATCATTCTGTTATTAGGTAAGTAACTAATATCGTTTAAAATGACTTAGCGAAATTTATTAATAATGCAAACACTGAGTAAACACTATGTACTCAAAAACGAAAAAAGTGAGTGACCTCAGATATAATGTCTTGCTAGATATCTCAGAATATATTACTATTTAGGACAAAAACCAAAAAAGCGGGGAGTTCTACTTACAATATCAGTTGGAATTACTTCTTTTAGTTGACACTGAATACAAAAGTTATTTGAATCCACGAGTTTTAGATGATTCTTAAATAACTAGTTAGCTTCCATAAAATTTTCACTGGAAGGTTACTTCTTAAAATCTGAATATTATAAGTAGTTATCAACTGTCATGCATCTTCTTTATGCTTTCCGTACAGAAATAAACAATACATAATGAATAAGATGAGTAACATAATTACTACTTACTGGTACACCTTGTTGGCCAGGGCTGCCCAAAGATCCTGGAGGTCCAGGGGATCCTACTGGCCCAACGCGTCCTGGTTCACCAGGTACTCCTTGTTCACCCGTTTCACCTTTTACACCTTTAGGACCCTGAGGTCCAGTACGTCCCTGAGGACCCGTCATACCAGGAGGTCCAGGTGGTCCTAGAGGTCCAGGCAGACCTCTTAAACCTTGTTTTCCAAGAGGACCTTGCGGTCCAGGAGATCCATCTTCTCCAACTGGTCCTTGAACACCTTTTGGTCCAGGAGGTCCTGTTGGTCCTTGAGGTCCAGGTATTCCTAAAGGACCCTGAGCATTCAAAATAAAATAAAGTGTTTCATTCAGATAAACTTGTCTTTTTGAATCTTGAATACGAGCGAAAGACATAATAGGGTGGAATAAAGTGTCAAATTTATCCCTTAGTATAGAAGGTAAAATTTCCATTAAAAAAAGTCAGTTTATGGGGCTTGGAACATACGTTCAGTATCCAAATAATTTCAAATCATGGAATTATGGAGACATATATTATTAATCTTTGAAAACTATGAGAAATAATCTCTGATATGTAACGTATTATGACAATTTACGGTTTATTCTACCTCGGAAGCATTCTAATATCGATTTACTCATCATAACCTCATTGAAACTATTGTAAAGACTACTTCAGGTAAGTTGGATGCATTTATAATTCAGTTTTTGAAATTATTCAGCAACAACCTACTTTGGGCGAGAACAAACCAGCTTCCAACTGAAGAAGAAAAAATTCTGGAAGCGGATAGGACACACATTGCGGAAATCATCAAACTGTATTACGAGGCAAGCGCTAACTTGGAATCCTGAAGGGGAAAGAAAAAGTAGAAGGACAACGAACACACCGCGTCGGGAATTGGAGGCAGATATGAAAAGAATGAATAGCGACTGGAAATGATTGCTCAGAAGGAAGTTGGTTGGAGAATGCTGGTGGGCAGCCTATGCTCCTCGATGAGGGGTAACAGGCATAAGTAAGTTTTGAACTTATAAACAAGTCTAACTGAATCAATTAATTACTTATTATTATCTTAGTATAAACTAACTCACTTTCTTATTAATAGGTACAAATAATTTTCAAGTCGGAATAGAAATGAGACTAAAAATTTAGTCATGGTTAATCATTATAAAGAAATTGTGCCGTTATACTATTTAATTTTAAGATAAATACCTAACAGAATCGGAAGTACCTATTTTAAGCCTCAAGACTCTGATATAGTCTAATCAGTTGTACATAAAGCTTCACGTTGAATCACTACATTTTCTTATCGTCCATCGAAAGGCACACGTATTCAATGATTGTAGACTCCTTATATAGCATAGCAAGAGAACATAGATTAATAAATTAACTAGTACAAGGGTATCTTGTTATTTCCATCAGAATTTTTTCAAACTACTGACTTTCTAACTCTAGTTTTTAGAAGTCATCTGTCTTAGTAACCATTTAGTACAGAATGTTACTAATGTATTTATTGAGCGGTTTAATCACACTTTGAAAGTAACGAAACGACTCACCAACTCTCCTTTTGGTCCATCAGGTCCTGGGATCCCTATATCACCAGGTACTCCTTGTGGCCCACGGGGACCCTCTTGACCTTTTGGTCCTAGTGGTCCCTGTACTCCAGGACTTCCTTCAACACCTCGAGGTCCTGGTGGCCCATCTTCTCCTTGAGTCCCTCTTTCTCCTTGTTGCCCAACAGGACCAGGTGCTCCAACATTTCCAGGTTGGCCAGCTGGGCCAGGGACTCCAACTGTCCCTGGTAAACCGCGTCGACCTATAGGACCCTGTGATCCCTGGTCTCCTTTTTCTCCGGCTATTCCTGGTAGACCTGTCACACCTACCATTCCAGATGCACCTGGTGCTCCTGGCAATCCTCGAGATCCTTCTGGACCAACTAATCCTTCAGGTCCCTCCTCACCTGCTTGTCCAGGGAGTCCTGGTGGTCCCTAAATAAAGTAAAACGAGTATATTATGAATAGATGATGTTTCAAGAGTTTTTTCGTTAATTGGTATCCAGAAATTTCGTAGGTACAGGTTCGAAAGCCGAATCGTTCTGTAGCAGTTTTTTGATTAAATAGTAAAGGCAGGTAGTTACAAATTTCTATCAGAGTAGCATTTGAAAGTTATGTGACTTCTCTAATAGTTAAACCAATAATCTAAAATCAAGAAAAAATCAGTATAACAAATTATATATTTGTAGGATGTCTTCTTTAAAGATCCGAATTGGTCTGCATTGTAGATACTACTGATATCAAAATTCTTACTGATATATCACTATTCCGTTCGTTACATCACGTTACCATAAATACGGTAGTCTAATAGTTTATTCTTTTGAACCTTACAGTAAAAACACTCATAGAAAGATGTACTAGGAAATCAAGCTTTACATTCCTGTTAGAAAAAATCCTATAGTCTCATTTGGACTTGGTTATGTCACATACCATTACAGGTCACATATGTGTATAGTGACACATAGGGAGGAGTTATGTAGTTACGTTTGGAGGTTATGGAGTTGGAAGTGATGAAATGTTGGAAGAAACAACTGTGGGTTTATTCAGAGTTGTAATTCACAATAAGTGCGAAGTGTAGATATTTATCTTCTTCCATGCTCAACATCATGGTTGAAGCTAGTCGTAACACTAACCTTAAAATAGATTTCAAATCTTAACGAAGAAACTGTCGAGGATACATCTTTAGCTGTGTTTTCCTGAGAATAAAGAAATCCAACCCACCTTCATATGCAAAATATGGCTGATCCCCATCCTAAACCGGCTACGGTAATCTGTAATCCAATTTTTCTGTCAAAGAAATCTTGATGGAAGTTATTATTCGTTCTTTTTCGTACTTTGTCTTCCATATATTCGTCCCTATTGTAACTATTTATTGATTAATTTTAATTTTATTTCCTTTCACATTAATTTGCTTGATAGGTAAATATATGATCAGATTGTTCTTGGTGAATTCAAAATTTTCATTACACTGTCCGGTTTTCCTCAAAGTATGTTAGTCTTCAGATTTCTACATTGTGGCTGGTTGAATCCTATTAACCTATTTGATAAAACCTATAAAAAGCTATTAACTTCTCGTAGCTACTTTAAATGCTAAAAGGCGAAATTGGTCTACTGAGCTTTATTGAAAAAAACTTACATTCACAAAATGATTACTTACTTGTATCCCAGGTAACCCAGGGCTCCCAACTGGTCCAAAAGGTCCACGTATACCCTTATAATGAAATAGAGTAAAACAATTATGCAATTCTAATAAACCACTTAATTAAACAAGATTTATGTTATAAAAATGCAAAACACTAAAGAATTATCTTATAGTGAATGTGGTAACAACCCTTTAAATTTAAGTAAAATTTAAAAAAAACTATGTGGAAACTTATCAATACTTCACACATAAGAAGTTTTTAAGTAATAATCAAATATCCTAATTAATTATCAATAAATATTGAAAATGTTTAATATTCACTTAAAATAGGACTAATGCAAAAATACTTACCACTCCTCCTTTATCGCCTTTTGGTCCTGGTGGCCCTGATGCACCCTTATCGCCCTTTTCCCCATCAAAACCAGGAGGCCCTAACGGTCCAATAGGACCTAATCGACCAGGTGGTCCCCTTGGTCCAGGAGATCCTACTAGTCCTAAAGGACCGTCTTCACCGGTTAAACCTTTGACTCCAGCTGGACCAGGTGGGCCTCTTGCTCCCATCGGACCTGGAAATTTATAAAAATTAATCTAGAAAGTTACTAGTTTATTTCATGCTTTTATCCAGTTGGTAACATGTCTTCAACAAAAATCGTAGCTGCACTTCAGTCCCATGGAATGTTATAGTAAGTAGATAAGTGAATAAAACAGATCCCCTGTATACGGTTGATTTAAAAAATTTCAAGTAAGTCACACTCTTGAGGCTATTTAAAAAAATACATTCTTTAGTACACTACTCATTAGTAGGCTAATACTTCAACTTGATAAATTTATGTCCGGATTGGATTGTCTTGTTATGATGTACTTTATACAATGGCTTAAAGAAGTATAAAAACAGCTTTTGTTTAGTACTGTATGAGGTTGTAGGGAACTTTCCATTATCGGTCCCGTGAAATATATCTAAACTTGTGTTTTCTTCAAGCTATGACTAAGATATAGTCGAATAACTTCACAAATATAAGTGCCAAGTTAGGGGGACTGAGTGAAAATTAATCATATTTATAGAGGCCTCTAGGTGTCTAGTGTGTAATTATCACAGTGTTTCACCCAGAGTTAATTTAGTCCGAATTTTTACTGGGCAATCAAAGCATTAACATGTCATTTTAAATTAAAATATAGAAAATTTGGTCTATGCAAGAATAGTATGAACTGAATTTATTTAGCTGAGTCTTTAAACTTAACCAGCAGTGTTTACTCAGTAGTATTTGGTTTTTATTAAAGAAAAAACAGATTCGCGGCAGAATTTTGGTGACCGAGCATAACAAGTTGGAAAACATTTTATTACTTGAAGATTTAATTTATAACTGAAATAGCATAAGGGGATACTTGAAGGCTGAGATGAATACTGAGTAAAAGTCATCTAGTTTCATTCATTTGACATGAATGAAATATTATTTAGCATATACTAAGCATGTATACCAAAGTTAATTTCGTCATACTGCAATGATTTTTATTCTGTCAATCGAAAAATTATAAACTGATATTTTCTAAACGCACCTGTTGGTCCGATGGGTCCGATAATACCAACATCACCTTGGTAGCCTTTATCTCCAATAGGTCCCACTTCACCATCAGGTCCTATTTCACCTTTCAAACCAGCTGGTCCAGGTCGACCTGGCATGCCATCAAATCCCGGGAATCCTCGAACGCCTTGATTGCCAAGTACTCCTGGTGAACCTCTTACACCTTTAGAACCAGGCTGACCATCACGCCCTGGCATACCATCCTTTCCAGGATCTCCAGTTGGACCCTACATTGTTTTTTTTAAAGTGAAAGAAGAATATGGACACGAAATAAATAATGATTAAACGACAAACTTCTGTTCACTTAGATACATTAAACATTTCCAACTGAATTTCACACAAACTAGAAGGTACATAAATTGAAATATGTAATAAAATTTATCTGTCTGATGCACTGATGATGTTTTCTAAAAGGACAGTGAAATCTTCATGAATAAGTCATATAGATCAGAGAAAATAAATGAACCAAAATACACTTTTATCTTGGAGAAAATACTTTTAAGTTTCTGAAAATACTGTTCATTCTGACGTCAAAGAAGGTAGAGTAATTCAAAAACTAAACACGTACAAATTGATACAGTGACAGATCATACCAATTCATCGTGACCAAAGAGAACTTGACACTGACATATTCAGACCTATTATGATTTTGATTGTACTAAAAATATTCTGCATTGTTTCCTTTTTACTTTTCAAATTTAATATTGTCATTTATTTACTCTGAAGAAGTGGCTTACATTGATTCACGAAATGTCATTAATAGAATTTTCTACTAATTGGGATATAACAAAAAGAAGTTCTCAGTTTCTTTGAAACTACTAATTTCAATCTTTGCATTGATACCTACATTAATGAGCATATGTTTTATGTTAGTTTTATGATAGCTGTGATCATCTAAAATTTCATAATCTTTAGAAAATTAAATAAAGCAAGAAAAAGAAGATTGATAGAGACAATTGGTATCATATTTAGTGTACTAGAAATATTTTCTATATAGGTGATACAAATATGGCTAAACGAGTACTCATCGTATGACACTATATTTATATGTCTATTCAAAAGCAAGTAAATTAGGCAGATGTTCATCAATTGCTCCAAACACATCCTAAAGAATCCAATTTGAGGGGGTCCAATTCGATTGGAGTCCATATGAAGGAAACATGACATGATTTAGATATTTATTTTTTCAATGAACGATAAAGTGTCTTTCCTATCAACCCATAATAGCAGAAGTCATAAAAATAAGAAAAACTTGGTGCTCAGATTTAACGAAATTGGTTATTAACCTTTAATTCTCTTTGTAAACCAAGTAAATGTCGTAATTAGCATCTTTTCCTTATGTAAAATATGAATATAATTAAGGTTTTTTCTTTCTTTATTGCTTTCACGTTTGCAGTTGATTCTTCCTCGTATTTAGTAGCAAAGTTATTTCCCGTGTTCAAAAATAGTCACCATAATTATATTTTAATGCCTAGTGAAAATTATTTTAATTTGGTCTATACTCAGATTTGGTGTTTTACATATACAATTTACTTTTCTTCAGTAGCTATATCAAGTCTGAATTTTAAATGTTTATTATATACTTATTTACATTGTTGATTATCTAAAATTATTAGTCAATTTATAGATGAGGAGAATGTAATGAAATAAAATAAAGGAACTTTGATCTAAGATAAATACTTAGTTCTTGAGTACAGATAACCTTAAATATTATTCAGTGTTACATGTACATTGGTACTGAGCAATCAGGAAGTTGTTTTGCACCCATTTCTTACAGTTAGCAATTTATTTTATTTATTTTTATTTTCTGCGACTGGAAACTGTTAATACTTACATTTTAATAAACCAAAATGCACTTTGTTGTATGCAGTAATTTTATATGATAATGAATCGAATCTTCTGCTTACATATTATTTGTCTACCGATAGTTATTCTCATGAAATTATGGTGACATCAAAATGTTTATTATCAATACTTTATTCGTTGAGAAGCATTCAGTTACACCGCTTACATCAGTTAAAATATGGAAAAATCTGCTCATCCTTTTAAAATCTAGAAAGTTATATCATAAGATCTGTATATTACTTCTGTATTTTTTTAAACTCAATCTGGAAGCAATCTTCAAACTATGGAACATAGATGAATAATTAAGAACGGTTAGTATTAGAGCGTACGATTGTTTTTAACAACCTCTTAATCAAGTTCTACAATTATAAATCCAATATTATTATTATCTTATTGCAATAGACAGAATACAAAAGCTGAATTATTACATGTTATGAACTGAAAATAATGAGCTGTAGGTTGATTGAGTCCTAAACACTGCAAAATACCAATAAGTTGAGTAATAGAATACGGATTAAATAGATTAAGTAACTTACTGTTGGTCCGACTGGACCTTGTTGTCCTTCAGGTCCTGGATCGCCTATAGGACCCGGTGGTCCAGTGTTCCCAAGACTACCAGGTTGCCCTGCTGGTCCACGTTCACCTGGTTCTCCACGTGGTCCAGGAAATCCAACAGGTCCTTCTCTTCCAGTTGAACCCTAATGAACGTTAAGGATAAGAGTGGTTGAAGTGAACTGTTTATTTTTTTAATACGAAGAATAATGAAAGTAGAGAAATAATCTCAGCGAATAAATGTTCACTTTGAAAATGCAGTAGTTGATTGTATTCTTCTCGAATAACTGACTAAATTTTAATAATTTATTGTTAGGATTATAATAGAAGATTCAACCAATCCTTATTTTTCACCATCTTAAATTTATTGAGTAATTACACAAATATTTATAAATGAATATATCTGTGCTTATGATGTTGGTTTCTCTCTATGTAAAAGATATAGTTTACTTTTACCTAGGAGCAAATTTATCAATGCTTTAAAAATGAATCGCTTGTTCAATTACAAAGAATATCAATCAATCAATTGAAATTCATAAGTTACTGTTCGATAAATTCTTAACTAATACGACATTGATAATTTGTTGAATACTAACGTCGAAATTCTCGTGACTGGTGTTTTTAAAAGTCAACTAACTGTACAAAAATAAAACATTAAGAAACTAAAGATCAAACGTTTGCTTTCAGAAATTCACGATCATGTAAAATGGGACTTACTGGTGGTCCTATTGGTCCAGGAGGTCCGACGGGACCTTGAAGACCTTGTTCACCAATCGGTCCGACGGATCCAACTGGGCCAACCGGACCAGCATCCCCTTTCATTCCCGGCGGGCCAAATCTTCCTGGTGGACCTCTTGGCCCAGGAGCCCCTCTTTGCCCTTGCTGCCCTGTTTCACCTGGTGAACCTGGAGGTCCAATGTCTCCCTTGTCACCGCCTCGACCTCGTCTTCCAGTTAAACCTGGTGGACCTCTTTCTCCGTCTGGACCGGGTGGACCTGGGATGCCGATAGCGCCAGGTAAACCTTTGGTCCCAGGGTCTCCTCTTTGTCCAACTGGACCAGGTGGACCTGGGTCACCTTTCATACCTGTAACTCCTGGCGATCCTACGGGGCCAGATATTCCAACGTCTCCCTTCACTCCTTTTGGACCTGGATCTCCAGGCACTCCTACAGGCCCTGGTTTGCCACTCTCACCTTTTGCACCTTCGGGACCGGACCGACCCCGTTCACCTTTATAACCTCTTGGTCCTTGAATACCTGTATCACCTTTTGATCCATTCGGACCTGTATCTCCTTTAGGTCCTACATCTCCCTTGGGACCTAGAAAGCGAAAATGAGATGGATAAACCAGGATAATAGATGGATGAATAGGACAATATGGTCTGATTGAAAAAAGCCTCAAATGAGTCATTAGCTGTTACGCGAAAACAATTAAACATAATTTATAACATTTAAATAATCGCATGTATTAATTTTTGAATGAATGTTTTTGGCACTAATATTCATCTAACATTAATTTACGTTTTATTTTAGGAATTTATCTAATGTTTGATAATTTTTCAGAATCTGATTATCATTTTCAAATGGAGTTAAGTAAAATATTTTCGATGAATCTAAGCAATAGGTATCAATGCCAAAGTTGGACTTGATTGTTTCAAATAAATTGAACATTGGGTAGAGAGTTACCGATGAATATATTTTTGTTATACCCCAATGAGTAGAAAAATTGTTTTCTGACGTTTCGTGACTTAATGTAAGCCACTTCTTCAGAGTAACTAAATAACCGATATTAAATTAACATAAGTTTAAATAGATCTAAGTAACATTTGACGATACTTCATCAGTTTCATGTCATACGACAGGACTAAAAAAACGGAGGTTTGAAAGGAGGCTTGGTAACTAAAAAATTCGACTTGAACAGAAGTATGTTATACTTCTAGAGTAAAAAACCTAGCGTTACAGATCTCATTATTAACGCAACTCAATAGTGAAGATTGTTGACCGTAGCTTGATGATGAAAATGTTTGAATCATAAATTAAACTAGTAGGTTATTAACATGATAAGTACAAAGCAATGAACGTTTTTGTTACTAGAATACTCTATGAACATCTTGAAAATCTATGTTAAAAAATTAGACTACAGGCGTGACAAGAATTTAAAATAACTCTAAACCAAAGACTGAAATTTTAGAGTTGAATAGCTAGAATTTACTTATAGAAAACTTTTAAATGAGTTTTTAACTCACTAGGATTTACAAACAAGTATGTCTGTGACCTTAAGGAAATGAAGAGATAGACTCATATCATTGAGTAGAAAAGTGAAGAATCTTAACCTTAATGTGTGTACTACGAAGGGTTTGTAAATTTCTTCAGAGACACACTCTGCATTCATTTCTTACGAGAATATAACTCTGCTTTGTTGATTTTCGACCAAATTTACGTAGCTAGTTAACTCCGAAAACAATTCGTCGTGAGGTGAAGATATCAGGTTAGGTGTGCGAATGGCAGATATGAATGGTAAAATCAGGTTAGTAAGGAGATCTGGGCAATATAAAATTAGTTGTCTTTTTATTTAATATTGTAAAACTAACTGACCTGGAAATCCTGGGAGACCATCAGTACCTGGAACTCCTGAGGGACCAGAGCGTCCCCTCTGACCAGCTATACCTGTTGGGCCCCGAGGACCAGCCATACCTTCTGGCCCAGATGTTCCTACAGGACCTGCTGGCCCTGGTAAACCTGGTAGACCAGGTTCCCCAAGTTCACCTTTACGTCCCCGTGGTCCCTGATTTCCAGGTTTTCCTCTCGGACCCTGTGGACCCGGCTGACCCACAGGACCACGTACTCCAGGCAGACCTGGATCTCCTTGATCCCCAATATCTCCATGAGGTCCACGTGGTCCCTCTTCACCCGGGAGACCTTGATCACCTTTGGGACCAGGAGGCCCTAATTCACCTTTATCTCCTTTAAGGCCTATAAGTCCAGAATCACCAGGGCGTCCATCTTCTCCCTGAAAAATTAAAAAAATATACACGTTTGATGGGGCCTAATGGATGAGTATAATCACTTTAGCACGTTCGTCATAGCTCTTGATGGGCCACTACTCGCCATGTTTTGTGAAAAATTATGTGATTAAACACACAAAGACAAAAAATAACTACTAATAATCTTTTACTATCGAGTAGTACTGTTGTAATCAAGGTTTACAGTCAACTACCTAAGTACTATATTAACCCTGATTACAGTACTCATATAGCTAGTTACATTGGAAGCCGGTTTGTATGATTAAACAAAACGACTCTATTGCGTTGCATTTCATCCAAGCTAGTGTTGGCTTATTACGATTCCTGTTGAAAATTATCAGTACTATTCTACATGAATACGTTGCTATCCTCTATAATTGGAAGATTTTTTATTGTATTCTTACATAAAAAATTTCGTTATCATTAGTTTCAAAACCATACATAAAACTGCATAATTCTCACCAACATTTAACACAGCTAACTAAAATATATAAAAAGATATTTCTTTTCATATTTCATTAATAGATACTTCATCTCCTATCAATTTTGAAAGGAAACCGCATTAATCCTTGAGACCACCTGATCAGAAGTTCAATGTTTCTTATTCCACCTCAAGCATGAAAATTCATAATAGTTGGTTCCGTGTCACCTAATGCCCATTTTCAGTAAAGGGTTGTGGAGATTGTTAGTTCCTGAGATGATGAACCAGTAAATGTTAGACCATCATTGCAAACCGGAAAGCACTGGATAGGTGCCTCATCCTAGTATGGGAATTCTCAGCAGTTTGCATCCACGGTCCCAAACAAAGTATTCATACCCAGGACCTTTGGGCTCGCACGTGAACGCTTAACTTGTAGACCGCTGAGCCGACATCGATCCATTTCATTCCGTTTTCCAAAATATTTGTTTACAATTCTGACAAGTCATAATAGAAGAGTAGAGATTGTCTCAGTGAAAATACCAATACTTTGTTTTGCTTAGTTTCATGCGACAAAATGGCCGGTGCTACGTCGAAAGGAATTTCAATGTTAATAGTTTCCACATTTATTTATCTTTAGAATATATAAAATTTTTGATCAGGATAACTTATATCCTGACACTAAGAATAACCATGTAGCTTCCAGAAATTATTTCTTTGTAAAAGTCAATACGTGAGTCGTTGACATGAATACTATGGATAAAGCTACTCGACCATGAGGAAAGTGTCAGATGTCATCGTACAGGCCTTTCCTCTAAATCAAAGTAGGCTGCATAGTCAGTGTAACAGACCTGCGGTCAGTTCCAATGAATATGAGGAAGAATGTAGTTGAGTCGGTGGGATAATTTTGAATTCATCCCGACTTTAGCTAGTGACGAATAGTGTTTTTAAAGTATAATTTCGTGGAACACAAAGCGTAATTTAATTGTTAGTACCTTGAACCAAATTTTCTATTGACTTCCGTTATATTGAGCAACACTCGTTATTTGATTCACAATAAATAAGGTTACCTATTTATCATGATTGTGTTAATAATTACTGGAGCTAGTTATGTTTTTATTAGTCCATTCAAGTTAAATACGTACATAACACACATAAAACTGTTGTCATAACCAAAGCATTTCTTTTTTGAATAAAACATTTCACTGACTAGAAAACGATAAAACAAAATAAAAGTGATAGTGAAGCAATTCGGGTGAATAACTCACTTTCATTCCTGATGGACCAGGTTCTCCACGACTACCATCTAATCCCGGTGGTCCCTGTAATTGAAATCATGATACCAACCATACATTGTGGTAGCATTAGAAAAGGAGTTTCCAAACATATAAAAAACATTTTGAGCTTCCAAAATCAAACATAATGTAAGTAAAACATGGAATTATTTCCTCGTAATTATGTAAATAAATCCACAAATGAGTAGTTATAGTGTAGATTGGTTTTTATTGATTAACTAATGAATGTGATAACTTTTATAAGTCGACATTATGAGACATAATTTATGTGACTTATAGTGCCGTCCTTGAAATTTTTATTTATTGACAATAAGCACCCCTGCATGCCGAAACAGTTCACATTTGGATACACATACTTCTATAGTATTACACCCATCCACTACAAAATAAATCTTGTTGGATTTCTCACATGCAGAGCAAAAATGGTCTCCCTAGATGATATTAAGAAAGAGTTGAAGTCTATCAATAAAACTCTGACAGCGATCAGCTATCCGAGTTTTTAAAAAGTACACGTTTGCGGGTAAATATTAACTGGATATATTCACTATACATAAGGAACCTATATTTTTAAAACTGAAATGCAATAACAGTGTGTTTAGCGATGTCCTGAATGGTAGATAAGTATGAGCAGATAATAGCACATTTTAAACAACCAACCCTTCGTTGGCATGTTTTAGTAGAAAAAGGATAAATTACCTGAGTTGGGCTCCACAGTGTCCATCTACAAATCTAACTGCTCCTGTGGAGATAGCTATATTGGGTGTAATAACAGGCAATTTAACCAGTGAATGAGTGAATGCCGTCTTTGTTTGTCATCTCTCCGTTTATATTCGTCAATATCTAGTTATTTATGCACTTCTTATTGCATAATTTTAATAATGTATAGTGATTATCATTTTAAAGTCTATTTATCCAAGTTTGACCTACTTCTTTTGTTGAACTATTGACTAGAACTTTTGTTATTTAGCTGTTCCTATCACTAATACACCTGTCTTATTATAAGTTTGTATTTTTTGCCTACTGTATTTAATAATACAACTTATTTCATTGTGATCATTGACCCATCAATTGCTTTGATTAGTTTGAAAAATTTTCATATAAGTATTCATGTATATTAGAGCAAAGCCTGATTATAATCTAATTGAGAACAGTATTGTTCGTATATATGTGTTGTTCTGATTTTCATAATGACAGTCTTCAATATAATGATAGTTGTTTAAAATATAACAATTAAGGTATTCCCATTATCTCATTTTCAGTGATTTGAATTTGCTGATGATTTTAACAGTTTGAGATGTTTTAAGAAAAATCTGTTTTCGTAAGAATAAGGATTTTTAACTGAATCAGTCTCTCGAAATCACAGGACTTGAAACAGATATATTTCAGTTAAAGTTGTCAGATTTTACGTTAGGACAAAGAAAAAATTAACAAAACGAAGGGGAAAGTTGAATCAGCTAATACCTCTGTAACTGGTTGGAGGGTTGTCATATTTTCTTTTCGACTTATCACCGTTTTACTAACCTTGGATTCGATTATTGGTCGAACCTATATGTTTCATCAGAAGTAAGTAGTGTTTCACTTAGTTTTTCCTCCAACTACTACTATTTGATGCTAATATCTTATTTAATTTCATAGGTAACCTGAATAGAGTATACTTATGTAGGTTAATTTATTTCTGAATTGACCTTGTTATTACCCCACTGCGTTAACTGGGTATATTAGGTCTTGTCAGTTTCAAATATGGTCTTTATATTAGGTAATCAGTTTGTGAGTATACCTGTAAATATAGATAGGCTTACCAGTTGATTATAATAAATAATCAAAACTTAACCTATTTTATCGGTGTTCTTTTTTAAAAGCTTAGTTCCTGTAAAACAGGTAATGTTATGAAAATCACTACCAAATGTTTATCAACTAGCCACATGGTAGTATATAATATCTTGTTTAAGTAATTGCTTCTGACAGAAATTTATCAATTGTAGAATCCCACTGGGTTTTTAATATATGTAACATAACACCGTTATGGTTTCTGCTTGTTAATGAAGATGTTCAATCAAATAAAACAAATAGGGAAAGTGTCGTGTTTATAAATGCTCCTATGAAATATATCCATTTATAGCTTAGAATTTGCTGATGAATTCATCAAGAACACCAAATACTGATTCATAGTTTAATGCTTATCTACCCCATATATCTAATTTTTTTGCGAATATCTTTTTTTGTTTGTTATTAAAAGAATTCTGACGACAGTATAGATAGTTGCCTAAACTTCAAATCATGTTTCTTAGTGTTCAATTTTTTCAGTGTGAAACTGTTTTACAAATAATTTAAACTGAAGGATCAAAAAAACATATTTTCCATCTTCTAGCTGTTTATAATAGATATCTGTTACTGTTTAGATGAACAAGTAAGGTTCACAAAACGATTGTTCTAAACGTTTATTCGTTTAAACTGCACTTGTTAATCCATGGCGCCTATATAACAGTGTTTATAAAATAACTTACACTGGAACCTTGGCGTCCAGGTGGACCCATCGGCCCACGAGGCCCTTGGTATCCCGTATCACCTGGGTGCCCAACTTCTCCTTTAACACCGGGTTCACCGGGACCTCCTTCTGGACCAGTCACACCAGTCATTCCTCTAGCTCCACGTACACCTTTTAAGGAAAGCTGCAAGAAAATGAAAGAAAAACAAATTAGGATATTGACAACTGTGATATATTTATTTGTTGAAATAACCTTGTCAAAAAAACTTACCAAATGTTTTTGAAGCAGGTCTCGAAATGTAGCTGCCCGTGCAAAACTACTACTACCGACGCCTAGATTGAGAGGAATGATGAATAAGGAACCCATAGGACCAGGTGGACCGGGTTCACCAGCAGGTACGGATGACCCATTCAAACCCTTTCGGAAAAAAAATATGAAAATAAAAACTTATTATTGGTAGTTTAGGCCTTAAAACTGCAATATTGTGATATATAAATATATATATGAAAAAGTCAGGAGTTTTCTAACCTCTTGTATCCAAACTTTTTCAATCATTTTTTTGAAACAGTGAAACATTAGAATTTGTTCGTTTGTGTTATTTATACATTTGAGAAGCATCCCACTTTGTATTATTCATTATGATTTATGTTCTCCACATCTCCTATATGTAGATAAAAGTACCCGTAACCGATGGACGCTATTAAATTAGTATCTGAAGCTCTTGAAACAGAGTTTCACTTTTCATACAAAAACAACTCTTTTTACTAATCTTACCAATAAGTTTTCAGTCTTCTACTTGTACTGTTCGGTCATGGTTAACATACACAGATGGAAGTCAATCATTTCAAGTGTAAACGGTAATAACAAATGGGAATTAATGATTATCATATTGTATGACGAATGGAATGAATTTGGAATTATGAAGTATTAGATTCCCTTTCTGAGCTGTAAACGTATCACGTATACCGCAACAGTTAAAGATTTTGATTAAGATACCGTGGAGCGTCGTTGATGCTCATTACTGCCTACCCCGAAATTAAAACTAAAGAACCGTTAACCACTCTCTGATTTTCAATGAATTTCCAGCTATCAGACTATGATCAAAGCTAACTTGGAACAGAAGCCATGAATAACCAAGAAGTCCCACTACAGGAGGATGAGAGATAAAAAGCTCAATAAAACTTGATCATAGTGAATATGACATTTCATTTTAAAACTATTTTTTCGATTATGTCCACAAAACACTATACATTTATTCTCAATATTACTGTTCAAAATCTCCTATGTATTAAGCTTTTTCCCTAATTTATTATAAAACATAATTATCTGATTTTCTAAGCAGTAGTAATACAACTATATTTTAGTGGTATTTTTGTATAACATAATTATTTAACATCAAATATATTTTGAATAGAACTAGTCTATGCTAAATGGTCAAGTAGTTTTTGAATTCGTTTAAAATGTGGTAAAATCTTGAGGTTAATTCAATTTGATTAACTAATGAAATGTATACTTTTTTCTTTTAATTATGTACGAAGAAAAATCCGCTAAGTATATGTTAATGTAACAAGGAGAACGGTCATTTAATTAGTTGCTTTGTGAATTTCATTTTAGCACTGATGATTTATTCTTTATGTTGTAAATAACTTGAAATCACAATATTTAGGTTAAAAATTTTATAGATAAATGTTTTTTTTTTCAAGATATATTCAGTCATTTCGTCAGTCTTTCAACATTTCGAAAAAAAAATATTAATTTGGGATTTATTGTCTGAGTTCCGTGGGTGAAATATCATTGTTTCACTTCAATTAAGTGGTCGTTTGGTAGATCATTTATTTCAATAAAATTATTATCATTCACTACTTACTGGTTCACCTTTATCACCTGGTGGACCACTATCTCCCATAGAACCTGTTGGACCCTAAAGTGTGCAAACAAAATAAAATATCAATAAATCTGAAAAGGAAAAAATTAAAACCAATGGTATTAATAGAGTTAGAAGTCCTTAACAAGTTCACTATTTTCACTGAGAATATGTGGTACTTTGATAATTAAAGTAACCCATTGAGTTATGGAATAAAACTAAAGAAAATTCAACGAAGAATTTTCTTTTCAATGGAATCGTTTACTTAAGCTGTGGCATTTGTAATTATAGTTGTTTGATAAATATATAAATGGTGGTCGGTATATCAGGAGTCATCAGGACAAACAAATATATTCACCATATGAACACTGAATGATAGTGAACAAATAAACATCTGAGATCACTTTATGATGTAATCTTTTTTATCTTGTTAAAGACATACATTTATCAAGCAACCGTAAATACTAATGTACAGCTGAATTCTCGTTATTTTAATTCAGTGATACTTCTCATCAGCATAATACTAGTTTAAGCTTGGAGTAAGAATTCATTTTCACACTCAGTTTTATAGAACTAACAGTTATTAACAGTTTCAACAAGATTGATGGAACTTGTCGAGTACTTTAGCCTGGAACAATCAGTAGTTAGTTAGATTTACTTAAAGAAAATAAGTGAACGTTTTAGTTACTGTAACTAATATAACTCTTGGTTATTATATTTATTATGGTATGTAGAACTGGAGACGGAATCAACTAAGTAAGCCGATGTATAAATTACCTTAGAAGCTATTAAGAAATAAATAAAAGAACAGTTTGCTGCTTACACTAGTAAATGTAGAACGTAACGTAGCTAATATACACTAAACATGATATGTATCGGTTCTTCTCATTGTTTTGTAAATATCAAGTGAATACACATTTTTTAAACTAATTAAGTAAATATCTACTTTCAATGCAAACCAAACTTTTTTTATACTTTTTTAAACTCTGCATATTCTTGGATCAAATGATTTCCGAAATAAGTGAGGTTCTTTCCTTATTAATTACTATGACAAATCAATTTTAAATAAAAACAAATAAACTTACCTGCATTGGATCAGTATCTTTATCTCCCTAGAAATTTTGAACAAAAAAATATATACAAAACAAAAATTCACACTTGATAAAATGATCATTAGTAAATGCATATTTATCAATACAAAATGTTTACTAAATTAACTAATATCTAACCACTAAGATATTAACTCCGCCTGTAGCTCTTATAGGGTTGCTGCCGGTCCCAAGCCCGGGTAAAGGAGGAGTGTTGGGCATGGGGTTAGCGTCCCCATCCCGTAGAAAACTAACTCGCTAAAAAACGCCTACCAGAAAAAATAATTCAAACCATTTAAGCTCTACCCTGAAAGTTAGAAGGTCTTCATTTAGAAGAATTATGACGCTTCATGGTGAAAGCCGAGTTCCTTCGGAAGCCACGAGGCCTATGCCCCTTCTAACAACCAGAGCAAAAATTTTTATAGGTACATGGAACGTTCGAACAATGTGGGAAACCGGGAAGACCAGTCAAATATCAATGGAAATGCGGAGATACAACTTAGCAGTACTGGGAATCAGCGAAACCCACTGGACCCAAGCTGGACAGAAAAGGCTAGCTACGGGAGAGATGCTGCTATACTCCGGTCACGAAGAGGACAATGCTCCACATACTCAGGGAGTCGCTCTTATGCTGTCCAAAGTAGCACGAAATGCACTTGTAGGATGGGAATCTCACGGATCCAGAATCATCAAAGCATCATTCAAAACAAAGAAGGAGGGGATCTTAATGAATATTATCCAATGTTATGCACCCACCAATGATAGCAACGACGACATTAAAGATCAATTCTACGAGCGGCTGCAGTCAGTGATAGAGAAATGCCCAAGAAAGGACCTCACCATTCTAATGGGAGATCTAAATGCCAAAGTCGGAATAGACAACACTGGATATGAAGATATTATGGGACGACATGGACTGGGAGAAAGAAACGAAAATGGAGAAAGATTTGCAAATCTATGCGCATTCAACAAATTGGTCATAGGAGGCACAATATTTCCACACAAGCGTATACACAAGGCTACATGGATCTCACCGGACCACACTACAGAGAACCAAATAGATCATATTTGCATCAACAAAAAATTCCGAAGGACAATGGAAGATGTGAGAACCAGGAGAGGTGCTGACGTAGATTCAGATCACCACCTAGTTGTAGCCTATTTAAAACTGAAGCTAAAAAAGAACTGGACAAGTGGACAAACAGCAATACAAAGGTTCAATACAGCCTTCCTTCGAGATACTGTCAAACTCAATGAATTCAAGATAGCTCTCAACAACAGGTTCCAAGCCTTACGAGATCTACTGAAAGAAGAAGAAACTACTATGGAGGACAACTGGAAAGGCATCAAAGAAGCATTAACTTCAACGTGTCAAGAGGTTCTCGGTCTAAAGAAATACCATCATAAGGAATGGATCTCTACAGAAACACTGGACAAGATCAAAGAAAGGAAGAACAAGAAGGCAGCAATTAACAACAGCCGAACACGAGCAGAGAAAGTCCAAGCACAAGCTGAATACATAGAAGCAAACAAACAAGTGAAGAGGAGCATTAGAGCCGACAAGAAGAAATACGTTGAAGAACTAGCAACGACGGCAGAAAAAGCTGCAAGAGAAGGAAACATGAAACAGCTTTACGATACAACGAAGAAACTATCAGGGAAATACAGTAAACCAGAGAGGCCGGTCAAAGATAAAGAAGGGAAGCCAATCACCGAAATTCAACAACAACGTAACAGGTGGGTAGAATACTTCGAGGAACTCCTGAATAGGCCGGCTCCAATGAATCCACCGGACATCGAAGCAGCACACATATATCTTCCTATAGATGTCAATCCACCAACTACGGAAGAAATTAGAATGGCCGTCAGACAAATCAAGAACGGGAAAGCAGCAGGACCCGACAACATACCAGCTGAAGCACTGAAATCAGACATCGAAACAACCACAAGCATGCTTTATCTTCTATTCAAAAAGATTTGGGAGGAGGAACAAGTGCCGATGGACTGGAAAGAAGGACACCTCGTCAAGATTCCAAAGAAAGGAGATCTGAGCAAATGTGAAAACTACAGAGGCATAACACTACTGTCAATACCAGGGAAAGTCTTTAACAGAGTGTTGCTGAACCGGATGAAGGATGCAGTAGACGCCCAACTTCGAGATCAACAAGCTGGATTCCGTAAGGATCGGTCGTGCACAGACCAAATTGCAACACTACGGATCATCGTCGAACAATCAGTTGAGTGGAACTCATCATTATACATCAACTTCATTGATTATGAAAAGGCATTTGACAGTGTAGATAGGAGGACGTTATGGAAACTTCTTCGACACTACGGAATTCCTGAGAAGATTGTCAATATAATCCGGAACTCATACGACGGACTACAGTGCAAAGTAGTGCATGGAGGACAGCTGACAGATGCATTCCAAGTAAGGACCGGAGTCAGACAAGGCTGTTTACTCTCTCCCTTCCTTTTTCTCCTGGTGGTCGACTGGATTATGAAGACCTCAACATCTGAAGGAAAACACGGAATACAATGGACAGATCAGAATCAATTAGACGATTTGGACTTCGCAGATGACCTAGCCCTCCTATCACGTACACACGAACAGATGCAGATGAAGACAGCCAGTGTAGCAGCAGTCTCTGCATCAGTAGGCCTCAGCATACACAAAGGGAAAACTAAGGTCCTCAAATTCAAAGCGGAGAACAGCAATCCAATCACTCTTGATGGCGAAACTCTGGAAGATGTAGAATCCTTCACATATCTGGGAAGCATCATCGATGAACAAGGAGGCTCAGATGCAGACGTAAAGGCGAGGATCGGCAAAGCAAGGGTCGCATTCCTACAATTGAAGAACATATGGAACTCAAAGCAACTTTCAACCAATATCAAAGTCAGAATCTTCAACACGAACGTCAAGGCAGTTCTACTGTACAGAGTTGAAACTTGGAGAACTACAACAACCACCCTCAATAAGGTATAAGTATTTATAAATGGTTGTCTACGCAAGATACTCAACATCCATTGGCCGGATACCATCAGTAACAGCCTTCTGTCGGAGAGAACAAACCAGCTTCCAGCTGAAGGAGAAATTAGGAAAAGACGATGGAAATGGATAGGACATATATTACGCAAATCGTCAAACTGCTTCACGAGGGAAGCCCTAACTTGGAATCCTGCAGGGAAGCGAAAAAGAGGAAGGCCAAAGAACACATTGCGTCGGATAATAGAAGCAGATATGAAAACGATGAATTACAACTGGACGGAGCTAGAAAGGTTTGCCCAGGACAGGGTTGGATGGAGAACGCTGGTGAGCGGCCTATGCTCCTTCACGAGGAGTAACAGGCGTAAGTAAGTAAGTAACTACTAAGATATTGGTTGATTAAAGCAAACACAATTAACTGTTCAGGTAATACCTAATATCATTTTTATTAAAATAAAAATACTGAAATGAACCCGTTGGGTCACTTCTGAATTGTTTCTTTTTCGTCATTAAATCTGGATATTCATTCAGGGTCTTTTTATTAAATGGAGAAACACATAATCGGAAAACTATTTTTAATAAATAATATAATGAATCAATACATTAATGAGTTTCATTCCCCAGATAAAATTTGTTTTGTTGAAATTAGAATTTAAGATTCATATTTTATTCTTTTTAAAAAATGCATAATACAACTTTACCTACATCTTTTTGATTATATTCTCAATTAAATTCACATCAATTACTTGATGTAATAAGTAAAAGATTTATTCATTTAAATAAACTACTTATAATGATTAAATTTTGTTCAAAAGTTATTATAGTAATCCGAGATCTAGGCTGTTTACTTTTGTTTTTCGTTTTTTAAAAAGAAAACATTTTATTATCAGAAGGGGTATTGTGGAGATTGTAGTAATTTCAACAGTTGAGATCATGAGTCAATTGTAGTTAGACAACCATGGAAAACCTGGAAGCACTGGATGGCCGTTTCGTCCTTTTGTAGGACTCCTCAGCAGTGCGCATCCATGACCCCACCTCACTGGATTCGAACCCAGGATCTATCAGTCTCGTGGATGCGCATTGCTGAGGAGTCCCACAATAGGACGAAACGGCCGTCCAGTGCTTCCAGGTTTTTCATGGTGGTCTAGCTACATTTGACTCATGATCTCAACTGTTGAAAGAAAACATCCTAATTAAATAATTGATTTTTCATGTTATTTTTTATCGATGAAAACAAGATCAACAATTTCATTTTATAATTGTTCCCAATCAAAAAGAAGAATATGAGAGAAAAAAAACATTCGATATCTTAATTCATATGTATGTTACATATTTAATATCACCATCAGTTAATCATAAATGATTATGAAACTACGAGTAAATTTACGTAATAAGATTAAAGTAGTAGGTAACATATGCTTTGAATTTTTCTTTCTATTAAAAATTACGTTCTATAGAAAGTATTATTAATTTGATCAATATATATATATATATATATATATATATATATATATATATATATATATATATATATATATATATATATATATATATATATATATATATGGAAGGAAGTTGTATTGATAAAGGAAATTATTGCCAAGGTAATTAATGACAATTTTAGCTTTTAGTTAATAAAATATTTTAAACCTTTTTTTTATATTTTAGATTAAATTATTTATAATTGATTAAAGTAGGTCTATAATCTAACTATTGGACAATTGGGAAATGATAAGTTTGTTCGAGATTTTGGACAAACTGTCATGGTCTAAAAAAGCAAAACGAAAAAAGAAACTATATTATACACTCATACAATTAGTCCCCTTAGATATTGATTAGATTTGACATTTAAACATGTGTTTTTATTAATGTAATGCTATTCAATGCACATTACTGAATTGAATTATTATGTTTTTGATAAACTTAATAAAAAAAATAACATTAAGCAATCACCGCTTTTTTCCCTCTCTCTCCATCTTATATCAACGAATCTTTTAGTCAAAGTTGAATTCGAATGATTTTAGACATCAAATGAAAATTGGTTATATTGAAATAAACAAAATTTCTTTGTTTATCAGAATTCTGTCAAATGAAAGACTAAATAAATACAAAAATGGTTTTCTGTAATTATTGTAATTGTTTAAAGAGGTTATCATTGATAGTGTAATCAACTATATGAAGTGAATAATTTTTCGACATCTAAACATTTGAGTTATAAACTAGATAGCAAGGTAACATGACGACTTAATTTCGTTCAGTCATTCAAACCGTAACTTAAACTATGAGTAGACAGATGGAATAATTTGATAATCATAAATCATACATTTCGTTTCGTTACTGATTTACAGATTTTCTCTCTCTCATTTGTTTAACGTGAACAGTTGCAGAAGTAACACTATGATTAAACATGTAGAATGATTATTTCTTTAAAGTTAAGACTATTTACACCAAATTAAATGCAACTAACGATTTTATTACTAAAAATAATGTATTAAAGTATTTCACTAACTAGGTAGACTTATTAAACCCAATTTTTTATTTCAATCAGAAACTTTAAATATCAAGGTGAATCATTACGAATGATAATGAATTTATATTATACTTCATTAGGGTTTGTTTTGGTTCTGTTCAAAATATTTTTCGTTTGTCACAAACTAGACTCGTTGTTAAATTCCAATAAATAAATAGTGGTAAATGTAATACCATAAATCTAAATTCCCATAGATATCTAAAAGTGTATAAGTTAAACTACGAAAGTAGTTTAATGTAAATGTCGATTACGTGAATGAGTAATGTCAAGAAAGTTTTCAACTATTTTCCTTATCAAAAAATGAGTAAAACAAACTCCCATGAGTTAACCAATCAAAAATTAGATACAATTATTCTTGTTCATTATATTTAATTATAAATTAAAACAAAATATTTGACTATAATATTATTACAACCATAGTCATGTTTGGCTTGTACAAACTTAATCTTGGTCAAAATTATCTTAGTAGGATGGAAAAAATTTAATGTAAGTAATTAGTTTACAACGGTTAAAACTAACTTTTTAAAATTGATTTTATCTAACAATTTAGAGTTCCAACCTTGATCTTAAATAACATGATACTAGAGCACAGGTAGCTCTCATAAATATCTATGATTCATTCTTTTCTCAAGTATACAAGTCAATGTCAAAAGGCCTGAAATCTAAATTAATCAGGGTTTTCTGTCAGCTACTTATCATTAATTCATTTTGAAGTGCCTAAAAGTAATTCTTTTGCCTATTACATGTATTTTTATCGACAAATGAAAACAGTAGGAGCTACATTCAAGAAACAATACCATTCAGATTAATTGCTAAATCTTAATAATTCAATTTTACAGATTGGAATCATGAGTCAATTGAAGCTAGACCACCATGGAAAACCTGGAATCACTGGACGGACGTTTCGCCCTAGTATGGGACTTTTCAGCAGTGCACATCCACGATCCCGCACCCCGCGAGATTCGAACCCAGGACTTATCAGTTTCGCGTTAGGCGCTTAACCAACTAGACCACTGAGCCGGCATCCAATGGTGTTAATATCTGTGAAATTTCCAAAATCCCCACAAACCCCTTCTGATAATTCAATTTTACGCCAAACATATTATTGTGCTATGTGGTTAACAGTCGAACTGAAATACTCCTACATCCAACATATAATGTTTCAATGTTTCTAAACGATTTTTATAGATCAACAAAGTTCAATTACCCTTTAACAATAAAGTATAAAACTGTCATAAAACTTTAATATATGTACTATTTTCAGTAACTTCTTAAAAAATCTGGAAATATGATTTCCTAATTTTAAACGTGTCTAGATTTACTGAATTCTTTATACAGTAATTGAGTTTACTTGGAGATTTATATAAATAAGTTCATTCTGATCAAATTCACTTGTTCTTTTACTTATTTGATTAAATACTTTATTAAACGAATTAATGGACTATAAAATATTGTTCAACCTATTTATTTACCATTTGAATGAATAAATTCAAGCTGTAATATTGAATTTATTATGAACATATTTATATGTTGTTTCAAATAGTATTTAGTCAGTAAAACAAATGCAACATACACTATCTTAAGTAATTTATATTCAATTATATATTTAGACTATGTACTGATTTATGGCAAATGGTGAATAATTCCCAGATTGAGGAATACTATACTGTTCTTCTTCTTTTTTTTTTACTTTCTTCTTATCTATAATCCTATGAAGCATCCATATTTATATGTTATACACATATGATGATATAAATTTACAATACTGAAGTGTACATTGATTGATTAATATTTATAATTAAATTATATATTGATAATAAACATAAAATCGAAAAGGAAATAAACACATATTACCTTTTTACTTAGACTATTCAGACAACAAGTTTATTATAAATAAATATAAAAACTAAACATGGAAGGAACATGTCGCAAAAAACAAAACAAAATAAACAATTTACTTCATCCCCCATCATTTGATCATCAAAACAATTAGGTGAATAAACATCACATTGTTTAACAGCACCTTCTTCACCAGGTAGAAGATAAAAATCTTCAATAAAACCCTATAAGTAATACATTTGAAATAATTATATTAGTATAATTATAATACATAGTTTGTAAATCTATAAGCTTTAATTAAATATTCTCTATGAGAAATTTAAAACAGTTAGTCCCTTTGATAAATTTCGATAATACGATGAGAAGACGAAGTTTATCAGAATTATGTGATATATTTGCACAATACATTTCGAATAGTCTGATCACACATATACTTGTTAAGAACATTTATATATGAAAAATTAAAATGTTAACTAGACAGGTTAAGGGTAAGTCATACCAAAGGAAGAAGAACATTAAAGTACACAAAAACAAATGTGATTACCGCTCAGGATAAACTAGGTTTGAAGCGGTTACAAGTTCATTTAGACTGCGGACGGAACAAAGACTCAGTGACCAAAAACCAATAAGCTAGCTATTTGATGCGTCCCAGTCTCGCTAACTAGAGTAAGAAGTCCAAGCTTGGAATAGGGAAGTATATTCTGCAAACTGCCAGGAATGAGCGATAACAACAAACACAAATCAAAACGTATATATACAGCGCAAAACCATCCTTGGGGAGAGTTACCAAATAACATACTAAAAGACACAACGGACCAATAGAATTTAAGATACTTTCCAAGTGGAAAATACGACATGCAGGTGAAAAGAGAGCCTTTGCCGCGACAACAAAGAAATTCAAATTTTCTAAATAAAATTACAAAATTAGGTCCTTTTCCAAGTGAGTTCTGGGAATCTAACGTCCCCAACAGGATAATAAATCAGTATTACCAGGGCAGGTTAAGTTTAAGGACAAATTGTTTTTGAACACATAAAGGAGGTTTCAATTTCCATAATTCTGATAAACTTCGTCTTCTCATTGCATTATCGAAATTCTCTATAAGATTATTCTGGAATTATATTTAAAGTATATTTTATTATCTTAAGGTATATTAACTTTAAGAATCTTTAACTATTTGCGATATGAAATTGAACTCATTTAGCCTCTGTAGTTTGTAAATGATTATATGGGAAAGTCATCTTGGTACTAATGTTTATTACTTTCGAATGTATTAAAAATTCGTAATTCAATAATATGAAATTCATTCGATTCCATTTAAAAATAGTCTTCATAATTAGGTTTAATCAAAGTATTTTTCTGATAGTAAACTTATTGCAAACTTAACAATAGCAAGTATCTGACCTTTTCTAAAATTAAAGATCACTTGTTGTTATGAAAGTAAATATTCCGTAGTTGTATGTTCATTCGACCATCAAAAGATGAAAAATTCAACTATATTTAAGTAATTACAATGAATGGCTCCTTCTTTAGTGATCTATTTAACCTGCTTCGTATTTTTACAGTTCTTAGTCTGAAGAGAAATTTTGTGTGGTCGTTATAGTGCATAAATTTGAGCGAAGCAAAAATAAAAGTTTTTGCGGTAATAAGTAGGTTAGTTTATAGGCACAAGAGTTAATAATAGAGATTATTAACCTCACTAGATCACGTTTTTGAATAAAGTGAGGCTCAGGCCTTGCGGTTTGTATTCTCAATGTGTAATTCTGTCAACAACTTTGTTTCTAAGAGCTCTGTTGATTGAAAAATTACTTAATGTCTTATTCAGAAAATCTATTTGTAACCATTTTGTTTATTATTACACTGTTAGAACTTTAATTTTGTACCAAACGCTTTGTGAAGTGTTAGAATTTCTATCGGTTTCCAATAAGGCTGAACATGTTTGCCTTCCTGAAGAAATATTTTAAGTTGTACTCTACGTACCAGATTAATCTCTTCAGTTAACTTATCAAATCAGCCGTAAATATAACTCTACTCGTTTTATTTGAAATATGAATACTGCTTCATAATTATCTACGAGTTGTCAATATTTCTAACGTTATGAATAAAGTTAATTAGTGCTTAAATCGTATTTTCACTCAAATTGTCTTGTGGAAAAGTCACTATTTCTTTTGGAATGTGATCAACAAAGTATTAAACAGATCAAATATATGATGAAAACTCACATGAATACCGTCTTTTAATACTTGTATTCGACCTCTGTTATCAATGCTTGTTGATGAACGATTATAATTTATGGACTCCCTTTGTTTACAATCAACTAGTAATCTTACGGTAGTAGTACCAATACTGACGGCTACACGATGCCATCTAAAAAGTTCATGAAAATATAATGTATTGAACAGGATACACAGAAAATGAAAGCCTAGTAAATATATATTGGGAATCATTTGTACTATATACTCTTGAACACGTCATTTAGTTTATTTTGAAAAAACTTGTTAAAATGTATTATGATATGATAACTTTATTTTGAGACAAAGCACTATTAAACGTTACTGGATTTTAACCAGGATTCTCAAATGCTTCAAGCATGAAGAGTTTTGACTGATAACCACTATTGATAATACGTCAATAAATTGCTTTTCGGCAATCCATGAATCGGAAGTTATGTATCTCTTGAGTTATAAGGTGTTAACAAATATTTATGTTTATTTCAATAGAACATACACATGTTCTTGAATTACAATCATATAGGGAGATGTAATTTAGTGACGGTTTTAAAATGCTTGCTCCATAGCAAAATTGTAAGGATGGCAGTCTTCTGAATTATGAGTAATTATTATTCTGCACCTGATGAGTGTTTCGAACTTTAATGTTATAGTGTATATTCATACGAGATGCTTCTCAAAACAAAACTGGAAAGAATACTTAGCATAGATATGAATAAAGCGATTCATGTTTTATGGTATTCAAAGCTCACTCACTACACTGCAGAAGCGTACAGTCTAGGTCCGTACAACCAGAAATCAACAGGTTTCATTTCGGTTTTAAACTAGCGACGTAAATTATTCGAAAGAGTTGGTACATTCTAACTAACTAATTTCAAATAGGGAGAAACACGCATCTTAGTTTCCCCTGTTAATCATATTTCAGTTATTCTAGGGATGAAAACGTCTGCCTTCATTGATAGATATTATAAAAAAACAACCCAATAAAAAAACAAATAACAGAGAACTCATTAAAACAGAAATGGAATGAAATCACTAGTTCTAAGTGAAAGATTACTAAAGTAAAAATCAATAACTTACAGGCCATCATTTAGGCGAGTTTTAAAAATAGCTTTCTCTAATGTTTTTCCTGAATGTGCTTTTAAATCTCGAGGATGCACATCAGAAAGCTGACTAGACTGTGATTCTTTTGATAAATATTCTAATTGCAAATGTGAGCCAATTATTATGCGTAAAATCATTCGTCCATGTCGATCATAAAGAGCGAAAAACTCCTTTTCCAAATTAGATTCCAATCGAATAGTAAATAAAATAGACAGATCTGGAGGAAATGGATCTGTACATAAAAAGGATATTTTGTTAGTACAACTACTACACAAAAACATAAGTAAACAGTGATTCTGCTTACTTGACTAAGCTAACTTTAATAAGGCAGGCATGTAATTAAATGACTAAATTACCTGAAAGTCCCACATAAATTAAAATATGTTCACCTTAGAAGGTAATACATGTGAACTTAAAAAATTGCCAAAAACTAATTTGCGGACTACAGTTATTACTGAAAACGAACAGCTAAACATTATTTTCTATGTTATGCATTAATTAAATATTGAAATACAATTATTTTCTGCGTGAATTTGTCGGAATATAATAAATCAAAAAAAAGATCATAAAACACTTTAACTACATTCATAATATAAATAATACGAGGAATTCGGTAAAACAATAAGTTTAGATAAATTAATTCCTAGTTGAATAATAAATTGTGGCGAGACTATAATTTATGGACAAACCCATCACGTATAAGATAACAGGTATCGGATCTTCGCACGAAATTCACTCATTCATTCGGATAACTAAACTTTTGGAATGATAGCTGATGTCAGTTCGTGATGAAGACCCTAAATCTAATTTATAAAGTTAATCATCAACTGTAAATCGTAATTTTAATTTTTCACACTGGTTTATAACACCAATTTGGTCCCGGTTATTAGGTGGACACCCTCAAGGTCAGTCTGGCTTCGCTCAAAGGTCATCCATAAATTATAATTTCACCGTATAAGTTCAATAAAATATTTTTTAAAACTATTTATAGAAGTATTAAAGATAATGGTGGCTACTGAATAAAAGATTCTATTAAGATTGAATATCTTACAAAAACAAAAATTAGAAAGTGATGGTTTTTATGTTATTCTACCACTTTTCAAACAGAACAGTAGGAATCTTTATAAATTGTCTAGTTAATAATTGACAATCAATAACGAAGTGTATTAAAAAACTTTACAACACTTCAATTTTTTACAAGGGTGAAAATAAATCAACGTTTTCAGTTTCAAGAGGTGACACTTTTTAGTAATCAATAAACAAATAAAATTACTACTTACCAGGGATTAAAGATCGACCTTCTATGAAAAGACTTAATCCACGAGGAACAGAATAAGCTACATTCCTTTCTGCAACATTTGATGATGTTGCCAAATCATTCGAATCTTGACGACATCGACCAGGTGAAGTTTGTACATATGCTTGTTCACTGACTCTTACTGCAGTTAATACGTCTAATGTACCTTTAAAAAAATACACGTAGGAAACTGATATAATGATTGAGAAAAATTCTCGTACATTTTAGTTTGATTTTCCTTAGCAACTAATATTGGTAATGAAAATATCAGAGACTTGAAAGTGATAATTCTGCAATTTTGTTTGTTAAAGTAGTGTAATCTATGCAAAAATGGAATATTAAAGAATCCTATGTAAGATTATTTGATTGATTGATCTATTTATTCTTAAAGAAGTAACGCCATTCGATTATCCATACAGCCATCATAGAAATGCTAACATACAGATTTGGTAATGACCGTTGAAACCATAGACAGTTACTCAATTAACCGATATTTTTCTATGAAACTAAACTTTTTATGCTAAAATAGTTTTAAAGCTTAGACTAACCCTCATCTTATAATCTTTGCGATCGACCTAAGAAATCATAGGTAACACAAGGTGTCAAATAAAATTTGTCTTATCATTGTATTATAAACAAAACCTTGACAGAAAATGACCGTTACTCTACATTCCAAACTGAATGTAACTGGGAATGTTGAACATTAGATTATAATTTATTGGTATTATGGTATTAGGGTCGTTACAATAATGTTTAGTAAATCGATTTCTTGTGAAGCCGTAAATACCCAGCCTTGTGAGTTCTTAAATTAGGATTGAACAGATGGTTATTTACCTCTTTTTTATAGTGGTCCTCAGGCTGATAGCTGTCAGTGGTGGGAGCTAACTTTGCACTTGGACCACACAAATTAGAGAAGTGTAATGACTGAGGTATCTTTGGAAAACGTCAAAATAACCGACATTTAAAAGTTTATGTGCTACCAAATACTAGTGAAAGATAGGCAGTTTCTTGGCTACTTCAGTTTATTATTCAGTAACCGTGATAGAACTATACTATAAAGTTACAAAATAAAATAATAAAGCTAGGTAGTGATGCTATATTTTTACAGACTTAATAAATTTTAAATGCTCGGATAAAATCAACCTTCTAAAGCTAGGTATATGGCAGATAAGTGCTTCTAGATCATTAAGGACAATGTGTAAAACTGATCACTTGGGTCTAATGTAAAAAGTTAACTTTCATAGTATAGTAAGATAAACAATAGGAATCAAATGAGTTGAACCAAATAAGTACATTTAACGCAACCTATAAATAAAAATATTTGAATGTAGTCTAAGACATAATAAGATACGTTCGTATATTTATTCTTATGTAAATTCGTTTTGAATACTTGAAAATAAACGACATAACTACTTCCTCAAATATTATATAACATTAGGTCTTACTTGGCGGAACTCTTTATGTCATTATAACCTCGATGTTTAAAGGTGCTTCCAATATCATTTAGAGAACTGTTGGAAACGAAATGAAACTAGGTGCTTTATTAATGTAGGTTAAAAAATTCATAGTAGTATGTATGTTTAATCTATTGTGGAATGAGTGCTGAAAAACTTAAATTTATTTGAATGCAAATGATCGTTTCTTTTTGACCGCAGTTATAGTTTTATATGTAGTGACATATATTAAGTATTATTGATAGATTTACTATTCCTTCGATTAATGATCTATTGGTCTCTCACTGGAACTTTCCTTAATACATTTTCTTTTATTCACTAAAGATGATTCAAATTACAAGTTAAAAGTACGAACTGACGGAAGTTTTATTCCAAAAATCAAGATGATGACGTTAACTTAGAAAAAGACGCACTATATACATATTGGTGAGGAGCATTAAACATTACAAAATAGCTAGCTAATATCTACCAGTTGCCTAACTGAAATTTCAGGCCTAACAACAGGTACTATTTTAATTGATGAACTTGTTCAGCTGGTTTGACTGGCGAATAAGTTTTACCAAATAGTTTTGTGAAGGTAGTGGTTCCAGAGAGATTCATTTTCAAGCTGGAACATATATTTATACATGTCCAGACAATCACTGAGATTCAAGAACAGTGATGCAGGTGGGCAGAACACTGAAAAACTCTTGAATAGATCAGCTCCATTGAATCCACCAGATATCAAAACAGCACCTACAGATCTTCCTATAGATGTCACTTCAATAACAATTGAAGAAATCATAACAGCCACTAAACCAATCAACAGTGGGAAAGCAACAGGACTTCAAAGCATACCAACTGAAGTACTGAAGTCACATGTAAAAGTGGCTGAAAAGATAATTCAAGAAGATTTTGAAGAAGGAACAAATACTGAAAGAATTGGAAGAAGGATGTCTCATCAAGATACTAAAGAAAGGAGTTCTGAGAAAACGTGAGAACTAACTACAGAGACATCATAGTACTGTCAGTACCAGGAAAATTTTTCAACAGAGTGTTGTTGTACAGGATGTAAGGTCCAGTAACTTTGAAATCAGCAGGCTGGATTCTATAAGGATTGGTAATGCACCGGCCAAGTTATTAAGACACAGATCATTGTTATACAAGCAACTGAATGGAACTCATCACTATACATCAACTTCTATGACTAAGGGTAAGTATTTGACAACGTGAATGGAAGAATCTTATGCAATCTGCTTCGACACAGTGGTGCATTTTGTAAGATCGTCAACATAATACGACGGACTATACTGCCAAGTGATGCACTGAGGACAGCTGATAGATGCATTCCAAGTGAGGACCGAGTCAGGGAGGGCTGTTTACTCTCTCCATTTCTATTTCTTCTGGTGATTGATCGGATTATGAAGACCTCTACATCTGACGGGAAGCACGGAATACAATGGACAGATTGTATGCAACTGGATGATTTGGACTTCTCAGATAACCTAGCTCTTCCATCCCATACACAACAAAAAATGCAGGTCAAGACAACTAGTGTATCAGCAGCCTCTGCATCAGTAGGCCCCAACATACACGAGGGAAAAGGCAACATCTTGAAATACGACACAGAAAACACCAACCTAATCACACTTGATGGAGAAGCTCTGGAAGGTGTGGAGAGTTTTACGTACTTGGGCTGCATCATCAATAAACAATCAGGATCTGATGCATATGTGAATGCACGGATAAGCAAAGCGATGTTGCCTTTTCCCTCGTGTATGTTGGGGCCTACTGATGCAGAGGCTGCTGATACACTAGTTGTCTTGACCTGCATTTTTTGTTGTGTATGGGATGGAAGAGCTAGGTTATCTGAGAAGTCCAAATCATCCAGTTGCATACAATTTGTCCATTGTATTCCGTGCTTCCCGTCAGATGTAGAGGTCTTCATAATCCGATCAATCACCAGAAGAAATAGAAATGGAGAGAGTAAACAGCCCTCCCTGACTCGGTCTTCACTTGGGATCTATATAAATAGATCAATTAAAATGACAACATGCTACAAAGTTTTGTAAAATATACATCAACCCACGTGTTTTCGCTATATGATTGGTCAACTCACTAGTGGGAAGGGGGCTGAAATACATACATATCATGCCAGATGCCTAGATCATTTTCTGATGCTTTATTTCATTTGATCCGAGAGAGTTCACTTTTTATGGGGATGGAAATGGCAACATTGATCAATTATATGTTTTGTTCTGCAGTAGATCTCAAACATTATTTATTAGACTCGTTATTTGGTATTATAGGGAAGATCGTTTCAAAACTTATAAGTGGACTGAGATTAAACCTACGTCATATATCTAAAGTTTTATTCTTCCACAATTTAATTATCCAGTCTAAAACATTTTATATATTTACTAGAATATTAATATGGTTTACGATTTTATAGTTTAGATCATCCATTAGTTAGAAAAAGATTCCGTTAACGAACTAATTTTTTAGTGATTTGAACAATAAATTCAAAATGAAGTGAAGTTTTTAACTAAAAAAAAACAGTTTCCATAGTAATGTTACGTGACATTTATTTTATTTACAGTTATTTTTTAAGACAAATTTTTAAATAAGTGTGCGTATAGAAAACATGACATTTAAATCAATTCCAATAATCATGTTTTTTGTTAGTTTGTAGGCTAAAGGAATTTTATATTATTAAATGTTACATTCTTATTTTATAATATAAATAAACCGAATTCTAGTAGATTTGAAATCATTTCATTCTTTACGCAAACGTTTAGTCTATTCTATTTATCATAATATATCATTCTTAGGGAATAATTCTTTGATAAAGAAACAGTTATAGAGAATGTTAGAAAGAACTTCTATCCAACTTTTCTTTACAATTATTAGACTTTGGCGTCAATGGTTACATTACAGCTTCCAACATAAAAATGGTAGACTTAAGTTAAAATATATAAATACTTTCGTCTAAGTTTAAACGAGTAGTTTCACATTAGTTGGGGCCTGACTTTATGTAAGACATTAAGAAGGAAAATTATATTTATACAAATCTCAGTGATTCCATGTTAAATAAATCCAATGTTTCACTGGTCCAAGCATTTTTAAGTAAAGAAAATCAAACATCAAAATATCGAATATAAATGCTCGGTTAACTGTTTACTAAATAATAAAGATTAGTTCAGCGAAGAATTCTCTACTCGGCGAATTCATTTCCAAAGACATATCTAACAGAAATTTTATTATCAGTATTATTATCATCCTGTAAAAATAAGTATATATATTTGCGATTGTACAGCTTTGAAAACGAATTCTCAGAAACGAGAACTCTTCACTGAACTAATCTTTCTTATTTAATGTCTTAATGGGTGTATTCCGTTAACTGTTTACTAAATAAATTGTCCAATCATGTTTACAATGAACATGAGATTTATTGTAATGTGTATGTGACATTTGGTGTAAAAAAGTGGAGAAAATTGTGTTGTGTGTATGTGTACATAGATCAAATGTGAGAAAAATTCACTGACCAGATATTGTCTCTGATTAGAAATTTGGTGAAAATAGGTGGTTCGCCAGGTGATGTGAATCAAACATGCCACAGCATGTATACAGTGAAAGAAAATAAACAAACAAATATTTGTATTATTGTTGACCAAGCTTATTTTTTATCATATATTCAGATAAACTGACTGATTAAAACAGGTGAAAGTAACCG